TCTGCGGGCTTGTGAGGCGCGCAGGGCCGTGCAACTTCCCGCGCTCGCTTTGCAAAGAGGGGGCGCCTTCTCAGAAATCAGGCCTCATGAATTTGTGGGTGTGTGTGTGTGTATTCTTTGCCGGGGAGTTAGGGATACTAGCAGGGGTTTCCAACCTCGGCTTCCCCCAGATATCCTCAGACTACAACTCCCAGAAACCCCAGCCAACACAGCTGGGGGAGAAGGCTTCTGGGAGTTGTAGTCCAAGAACACCTGGGTGAGCCAAGGCTAGGAGACACTGAGGTAAAGGATGGGGGCCTGGGAAAGGCCCCTGCCTGCCTGGGGGAGAGAGAGGGCCTCTCGCCTGTTCCTTTGCCTTGCTTTTTTTCCTCCTTTGGTATTCTCAGCCATGCCTTCCGGGAAGATGTTCTTGCTCTTTATTTATGATGCCAATTGTATGCATTTCAAAGAGGAAGAAGAAAGACTGGTCTCTGTTCCAAGGAGGATATTCTTAAAATGGGGTTTCTTCTGTGTAAATATTTTAACGCAGTTATGGAAGAGGCGATCTGGTCTCCTACTTTGTGCGTTTGACTGTGTGTGCACACAGACACACACAGAGTGTGGGCTTATAGCCAATGCAAGTCAAATGCTCCATACAGTGTGTGTGAATATAAACAGAGTTTATTCTAGGTTTAAATGTCCACAGTTCCACTATAGGATTGTGAAATGTTTATAGAGGGGAAACAAAGGTCCATCTGAATCGCATCTGTGGCGCACTGGAACTGGAATGCTCATCCAGTGGCCTTTTCAAGAGTGTAAAAGGCAGCATCTTTGCTGGCTGAAAAGCTTCAAGCATATAATTGCAGAATAGTTCCATAAACCATGAACCCATCCCCAGAGAGAAGCCTGCCTCTTTTCAGTAGTCCAGCATACCTGGAACAGTGACATGGCTTCCCTTTTATAGATCATCCTACCTGCTGAGGTACAAATGGAGTCCACACAACAGGGTGGTATTTGCTCCACAGTGTTGTCCTCTTTTGTACAGGAATAGACTGGACCCGTCTCCCAGCACTCCACCTTCTGGGCTTGTTACCTGTTTTCCAAAGCAACTCACTGTATTGTGATTATTACTTACCAGTCTTTTTTAATGTGCTCACTGCGTGGGTGTTCTGATCTACAGTATTGAGACCATGCCTCTTTTTTGTGCAACAGGACAGGAGGTAGGGGAGGCAGTCCCCATCTTTTCCTTCTCCTGATGTATAGCAGTGGTTCCCAACTGTGGGTAAGCCAGGTGTTCTTGGACTGCAATTCCCAGAAGCCTTCACTACCAGCTGCACTGCCCAGGGTTTGTGGGAATTGCAGTCCAAGAACACCTGGCTTACCCAACGCTGGGAACCACTGAGGTATAGGATCTAACTTTTTGAATGATTAAATAATGATGGACAGATAGCATCAGCCATTCTGTGAAAAATATAATGTTTCAGTGAATTCTGTCCCTGTTAAAAAGTGATATTGTTCCTGGTATTAATAAAAAAACAGAAAGGAATGACAACCATTTTTAACATGTTATATAAAAAAGCTCTGAGGATTTGACTTAGAGAATGAAACGGATAGTGCTGCAGGCATATTGATTCTATGCTTACATAATTCCATTAGGCACTCTAAGAGATTCCACATGGCTGAATTTTTTAGGTCCTTTTAAGCATCTGAGCTGTGACTGTCATGTCAGCCACATTTAATGACAAAAAACCTTCACTATCCATAACCACTAAAGGAGCAGAGTGCCATATGAGGTGTTTCCCTGATGGGAGCATTTTTGGAAGTATATTCTGGAACATTTTGATGAATCCATGTTCAAAAGAGGTAAAGAAAAAGTGTGATTCCCCCTGTGTATGCAAAGACAACTCCATTCTAGCTACAAAACAGGCTGGGACCGAGATCCATAAAGAAAGACTTTCCCATGTGCCAACCTCCCTGTACCTGGGACCGAGATCCATAAAGAAAGACTTTGTGCCAGCCTCCCTGTATAAGAAGGGCAAAACAACTAGGGATGAGATTTTTGGACGAATTAAATAACTCTGCCCAAGCACACACTTAACTGTTGACAGGGTAATTGTGTATGTGTTTCTCTATAGTGAATTCTGACGCCTTGAGAGATTCCTGACTGCCAGTTTGCAAAGCAACTGCTTGCATATTTTTACCTTCACAGACAGGACATTTCTCTAAACAGTAAGGTGCCGAAGTGGATTGCAGTGTTTCAGTCGTTTTTCCACTTCTCTCTGTTTTGGGAGAAAGCCAATGCTGTGAGTGTCAGACTAAGACTCAGGAAGTATAGACATTGCTGTTTCAGTAATGTATACATGCTAAAAATTCCAGCTTGTTCTAGGACTACTCTGTTTGGAACTTTGTCCTGCCAGGTGATAACAAAAATGTGTCAGAGACAACACATATGGAAGGTGTTCAGCTTCCTCTCCTGCCGTGCACAAAGGGTCCAGGACTCACTGCAGTACAGGAGTCTACTCAGGACACAGGCTCCATAGACCTGGATCTTGGTGTATGCTGTCAGCTTATAGACATACAGTACTCTCTTTGTGAGTCTAGAGAACATGGTAGCTGCTTTCCCAATGCGTTTATCCAGCTCAACATCTAGAGAGTGTGTGTCAGAGATCGTTGAGCCAAGGTACACAAAGTCATGAACAATTTCCCATTTTTGTGTGGAGATGATAATAGAGGGAGGTGGGCGACCAATGCCGTCTCTGTACCATGGCACGGCCTGAAGCCCGACTGAAATGGATCCAGGGCATCTGTTTCGTCCAGGTGAGCTTGGAGCTGATCAGCCACCACCCTCTCCACCACTTTGCTCATGAAAGAAACATTGGCGA